GTATTTTAGCTGTCCAGAGAATTCTAAGGATTCTTCTGTTAAACTTATCTGCAATGCCTCTACAAATTGTACGGCCTCTTTATTAACTGTTAATTATTCACAGCCGTATGTTAAAAATAAATCTGTATAGCATACGGGCATTCTTTTCCTAATCTACAGTGACATAGATTTATTGCATAAAATATTCTTCATTTTATCAAATGCAGTTTTGGCTTTTTATCTCTGAGATACATCTTGCGTTTGGTATCTTTCATGTGCCTAGACACTCAAACAATTATACATTTAGGCACTATTATTTTCCTTAAAAATCACCATTACTTCTGTTTTCCCATTATTCAAAATGAGGCTGCATTCATCTTTTTCTACCACCACTGTATTAATCAAACCCTGTATTTCTTTATGATTTGTCGCTATGAAGACGGTGTCATCAGCATAACGTAGGTTGTTTATATTATGACAACCAGTCACATTTCCTGGCATATTCATGACAAACTCGTATTTATTCACGGACTCGCAACGCCTAAGCCACGGACGTTGCATTTAAGTATTAGTGCACACATAGACAGCTAACAATTAACGGCTTAACCATAACCAAAGAAACCCAGTGGATATCCAAACGGAGGTAGGATACCAAACATAAACGCACACGTTTCAATAAAGAAAACAGTAAGTCAACCATAGGATCATCATCATCAAGTTCCTTGCCGACTGGCGCGGGAGATCATACCTGTCCACAATCTGTGATCCGCAGCTGCATGCATCAGTCCTTGTGTTGACATTTCTCCAGGTCATATCGAAAAGCCGTCAAGAAACTTCGCGTGCTGTCTTCCTCTGTCTTTCTTTCCACAGATCTTTCCAGTGGTCACAACATGTTCCTGTCCCCCTTCTTCTCATAACATGACCTTAAAAAAATTACGACTGTCTCTTTCTCTTGATTGGATAGTTTGACTCAAAGCATTCGCCTCTTTCAAAACATCTAGGTTGCTCTTTTTGGCTAACAAGAGTTAAAATAAAATTAAAAACAAAAACAAATAATAAATTAAATAAAAATATAAAAAAGTAAACGACAAATGTCCCAGTCTGCTTTTTATTGGGAGGGGGAGGGGGGGGGGGTTTCCCTTTATTTCAACTCTGTATGTTTGCGAGTATTGTGTTTTCCCTGCTATCGTGTAATTATTTGTCTGTTTGCTTATGTATTGTTTGTCTGTTTACATCTGTTGCCGTTTGTTTGTGTTTGTAGGTGTTATGTTTAAGTGTAGTCAAAAAACACAAGAAAGAAAAGGGGTTATGGGAGGTTGGTGACAGTGGGGCTTAGTCCCTTTTTATTTGTTTTCATCAAAGTCAGTTTTTATTTTCCAGTTGGTCAATGACCCAATCTTGCCAGAAACGGACTGCTTTTTTGTTGAATTCTTTTTTGTGTTTCTCGTAAAAGATTTCTAGGTCTGTCTGTTCTGCTAATTCTCCGTCTTCGCAACCTTCTTCTGCTTGTGACCGTGCCAGGTCATCGATATATTTTCTGTGTTTTCGGTAATAGAACTCATCATATTCGGGCAAACCAAAATTGGTTTGTTCTCCTGCCTCTCTTCTCAGTCTTTTTAATTCTTGTAGAAACAAGTCCCTTGCTATGTCTCTTTCTTCTTCTGGTTCTTTGTTGTCATCTATTTCCTCTTCTGTGTCTGTTTCTGGTGTTTCGGGATGTTTTTGGACTTCTTCTGGTGGTTCGGGGGACAATGGTGAAAGTGGTGGGTCTGGAAGTTTTTCCTTCTCCTAGGCTGTGTAAAGCTCTTCTTTCGTGGTCTTGTGTGCTGTTGGAATGGCCGCCGTGCCAGCTGGCTTTGCTGTCTCTGTCTTTTGTGGTGTTTTGTTTTTGTTCTCAATCTCTGTATTGAGTATTTGGGTTGTGGTCTCTTTTGGCATCTCTTGTGCCGCTGGTGTTGTCTTTGTTTTGCTCTCAGTTGCTTTGTTGAGTGCCTTCACTGCCGCCTCTTTTGGAATTTCTTCCGCTACAGGAGCTGTGACTTTGGCAGCGGGTTTTGTTTCTTTCCTCTTTGGTTCTGGTTCCGTGGTCTTTGTCGTTAGGTGGTGTGGGTTGGTCTTCTTCCTCTTCTCAGGACACTTGTTTGACCAGTGGTCTTCTTGGCTGCAGTACATACAAGCAATCCTTCGGTCAGGCATCGTGATCAGAACTTTGTGGTTACGCTTTGTTATGCCTGGCATATTCAAGCAAGATGGCGGATTTCGATCTACCGTTTATGAAATTATATTAAGCTTTTAATCTGCAAAGTGGATATTTAAGACACTACACTGGATTACTATATTTCAACTGGACTAAATTGTTCAATTCAATTGGATTACTGTTTTTTAAGAACAATTTAAACAAAAAGGGATTTTAAACTTGGACTACTTCTTATCAAACATGGAGAGGATCAACGTACTTTCACGCAAATATAACAACGCGATCCTACACAGGCAAGACACGCTAATCTGCACACTTGAGGGACCCATGGCGGCTGCAAAAGGCAAATCTGTTTTCATAATACCATTGTTAATGGGCCCCTTTGCCATACCGAGAGAGGATATCATAGATCTGTACCGACACGAAAACCCGACAGAATGGTATTTCTGCCTGTCACAAAGATGCCACCCAAAAATGTTCAACGCCCTGCATGGCAAATCGGTGACCCTGCCAGAGGAAAATATCACCTGCAAAATTGAACATTACGTAAAGCAGAGACAACGGATCACACTCAACTGGCTACCAAGCCAACTGAACACCAATGGCGTGACGGACATCGTAAAGGTGATAACGGGAGACTGTGAACCTGAAGTCTTCCCTATTCACTATGACGAAAGAAAGTGGGGAGCGAGGTATAAGCCAACACGAGAAATACCCCACTACATTTATGTGGACACACCAGTCTGCTTTCTGAACAAAACCCTTCAGGAATTAAATAAGAAATGATTACTTATTGCTTGTTTGTTTGTTTTAGTATCCAGAAGCCATGAGTTGTTAACCCTTAGGCTCGGTATTATGGATATCGCAACCTTTCGGCCTTGATTCCATTGTAAATACCGTAAATCTGGGAGAAATGTGGCTGTTCTGCCTACCCCCGGGAGTGAACCCGGACCACAAGGAGTTCGTCACCCACTCACCGCGCAATCCGGTTTAACCAACTACGCTAGAGAGACCGGCATTGCTTGTTTAAGAATCGATATCACGGCACACCCGTAGATGCCCCATCTCCCGCAGCAAGGTGTAGATGCTAACTGTTCCCGTAGCCCACTGATTAAACATACGTCATTCTCTTCTGCTCCTACTCCAGTCCTTACCGGATCCACTCCTAATTCGTCGTTCATACATTCTCACATGTTTAAAAAAAATCCAATCTATGGTCTTCAATCAATATTCATTCATAAATGCTTTTTATTTTCAGATTGTCTCCCTTGTATAGAACGAGTGTTCCCGTAGCTATCGCTTTTGTAGCCAGAAAATCCCCTCTTTCATTCCCACGCACTCCTGCGTGGCCCGGACAGTATAACCGCGTGATTCCCTGCAACCTTGTCGTACTGATGCATAGTATCTACTCATGCCACATTAATCGATTTTGAACCCTCCGCAGCACCGACTGAGAATCAGACTCAATATTTCCTCTGGTAACTTAATTTTCTTATATCAACTTCAGAGCTGCAGTGATTGTCTGTAACTCCATCCTTATGCATAAAGTTGTAGAAGATTAGTGCGGACACCCGATCGACATGGCGCGCCCGAGAGCAGAACCCCCGCCCTCAAACCGTTCTCCAACTCAAGCCTCTAAGTAGCTGGAGCACGCCACAACTGTGTTGCTAAAAGCTTATTACATAATCCAGTTTTGCCCTTTTTAGGACAACATTTTTTGTTGTTTGAAGCCCCACCCTGGATTTTGCCAGGGGCCGCAATATAGGCAGGCCATGAATGTGGCCAATTGCCTGAACGCGGTTTCTGGGACCTCTCCACGGCGATCCTCATCCACATGGTGGCACATTGTGTCATCTGGTGTTTATCGCTTGTGTGATGTCCTGGTGGGGTGGAAAGTCAGTAAGTCAGTTGTAGAAGAAAGGCTCCATTTCGTTCTGGCACGATCTTTCCCTTCCTTTGAGCTAAAAATCCGCAGCCCGATCTTACATCCCTTTAAACAGGTGTACGCTATGCATCCTCTAGCCCAATGTTTTAATCTGTCAGGTCTCTATCTCTAGTTTTGCCATACTGTTACACTATTCTCTTCCTAATGTGATAATGACCCGATGGAAGCTGCTGTTGTGAGTGTTAGGGTCAACCCATTCCTGCCACCTGTGTATTTTTGCTCGACTGAAGCCGGCGTACTGATAGTATCGTCAGCTTGTGACATACATGACTGTCCTCTTTTCAATCGTTCTCCTGTCAAATCTTTCAGCCTGCCATGCATCGGATGCCTTTAATCTTTTCTAACTCGCAAACAGCCATAAGCTCGAGCGAGTGACAGTCTAGACTTTACCCATGTTAGCCCTAAGTATATACCTCATTCTTCTAATCGTAAATATCTAAGAATACAAACATTTTAAACTGGAAGTTCTGACTTTTTATTTTCCTCTGGGTTCCTTTATTTGTATGTTTAACCTGTATAATATTGATATTTACAGATATTGTTTGGGTCGTTTCTATAAGTTTTCTGTCAAAGAAAAGTGGCAATTAAAGGTAAAAGTAAAACTATAATTGGAACCCCCCCGGGAAGGTACCGAAAGAGTTAACAATGGGTAGCGTCGGGGTACCAGTTTCACACCTGCTAAAGGTAAACCGGAACGGAAGTTGACAATTCTCAGGTCACAGACACAGAATCTCAGACAGGTGGCCTGCGACAGGCGGTTGACGGGATCCGAAAGTCGGCCGTTTGTTGCTTTTTCATCGTGATATAGTATCAAACAGTTCGGGATGATTTAAAAGTGCACAGACACGCTGTTGAAAATCCTAGGTCATTTTGTTTAAAATGAAGGAAAAGGCTTTAGATAAAGCAACCATCGACGCCTACCAAGAGTGGGTGCAGGATGGCATCCGAAGGGACCTGAATTCGGTAAGCTTAAAACGCGCAGTTAGTTATGATGATCAGTGTGATGTTGGATGTAATATCGTTTTCTATTTATAGTTTAAGACTAATTTATAATGCTTTAGTTTCCCCAAACAGAAAGAACAAACGTGGAACAGCTGATTCTGTTAATTTTAAGTGCAGAAAGCTGCTTTTAGCCGTAGGCCCACTCGGTTGTCACATTAACTTCATCTTGAAGCAGAGATTTTGCAAAATCCTTATGCTATATATAACTATATTTCATTTACCTTTCTTTGTGATACAAATACAAGTATTACCTCTCCAGACGAAATCTGCTTAACTCTTCGAGTCCCAGGGGGTTTTGCATCAGAAAGGGGGGGGGGGGGGGGGGGGGTAATATGATTTCGACTTTTAACAAATGCAGCACTTTCAAACAAACCACACAACTGCAGCTGATATGCAACATACACATATCATACATGAAAATAAACATAAATGGATAAGGATTAATACAGTATTAGCATACTGCTACAACAAACAATTATACCATTAGTTAGTATTTAGTAGAGAAAACAGGGACTTAGTTTGAGAGGTGAGTAAATTATGAACAAGTTTTTTCCTCTTACGCAGAAGCTGATCCCAAAATTCTTGATATGTATATCCAAAATGCATCACAAAGGAAGGTACACCACTTATAAGTATGCACAGCCAATATTAAAGCAAAATGTGCAATAGTTGTTGTTCCATAGCAATTTTAGTAACACTACCATAACACATCAAAATATATTCTCCAGTGGCACAAACAGTAACTTTTCTAAAAACAATTGAATTCCTTATGTATAAAAAAACTGTAAAGGCACTGTAAACATGTCAACCTGTTCATAGATATACATCTATGGTTTTAGATGATATGGATAGTAGTACTAGAAGCGCTGACATTTGGATTAGCTGGTGTCGCGTTATGAGGTGCTGCTCTTGTGTTGCCAGAAAATATACCCTAACAGGGCCTCAGTCATGTGTCAATTGCGCACTTCTGGCGACCTAAATTGTGCACTCCCGGCGACCTAAATTGCGCACTTCCGGTGACTTCCGCCACCGCCGAGAGTATCTCCCATGCCGCTCACACGGCATGGTTTGGGGCTAAACTAGATGGCTGGGACTCACGAGCAGCAGCTACCGCATTTCCTGCAGCTGCCTTCATTTTATTTGCTTGTGAGTCCTAGCCATCTAGTTAAGCCCCAATCCACGCCACGTGAGTGGCGTGGGGGATGCTCTCGGCGGTGGCGGAAGTTCGCAATTCGACAAAGGCGGCGGTATAGGCCCCCTCAAGTACGCAATATACACGTGACTGAGGCCCTGTTACGGTATATTTTCTGCCTCAATAGTTTTGGACCGTTATTCGGAAGATAGCCAAATAATGTGATTATCAACAAAATGTCTAATTAACTAATTCAGTATAAAAGAGGTATCTCTGGCTATTTTTTATTACATTTCTCTGATTTTTCAGAAATTGAAAAAAATATTTTATTTCATCGACTTCATCTTTTGGTTTGCAACTGTTGTTTAGTTCCCCCATATCCGATATCCACAGAGATCTTTGTTGTAGCTATGGAATTCATGCTTTGTGTGAACTAACCCTCAGCATGTGACTAGTCGTTTCGTGAAGACAGCAGGGCCATATGTGATAAAACCTTGAACAGTTTCTGTATGGGTTCTGGGTCCCATTAAAAAACAAAAAAAGGACCTATTGCTCACATAACAAGCATGTCGTAAAAGGTAACTAGTTAGGGGTCTTTCCTTTAAAGTCAGAGCACATCTTCCTGAGAGGAGAGAAACCAGCAGTCTGCATACAAGTAAGTCAGATCTGTAAAACAGATGTGCATGCAAAACTGAAGTTCTGGAAAACGGCCAGAAGAGTGAATCAACAACCATAACTTTCTGCTGTGTTTTACAACCGATGTAAGCTAAGACGGCAGAACAGTTAGAATGCTGGACTGTCATGCAGAAGAACAGGTTCAGACCTTGTTAAGGTCCTGGCTATTTTCTGTCGACGGCAAAAATAAGATTTAACCTGCACAGTCCGTGGTGACAGTACTAGTCATGCATCCATAAATCAGACTCAAAGACTCTGCCTACAGCAGAAAAGTTCGATAACAAATCTGACAATGAGAGACTAATTCAATGGGGGGGGGGGGTAGAGGTTCTGAAAGATATTCAACGCTAAGAGGGAAACGTAGCTGGACTTTTAATCAGGTTGCTGCTGCTATTAGCATGTCGTCTCTTTATTGACTACTGAAGGAGGGGAAGGAGCATGTGTGAGAATGTCCCAAGTGTAGTGATGTCAATTCTTGATTCATTCTTTCAAATCGTACAAATCTGGAGCTGCTGATATCTAAGTGAACACAAGGACCTGTCTGTCTGGAGACCCACATTTCTTGTATTCAGAATTGTGGACCCTAAAAATGGAAACCTGATGATGTTGACCACATCATTCATCAGGTGTTGATTAGTCCATTGAAGTGAGTCTTGTGTCATATGCCCATTACACTACCGGCATGGATAAGTTCTTACATTAAAAACAATGAATGCAATTTGAAACTGAATATACAGAACAGGATTATATAAAATACTTAACTTCCAAACAGAACACTAGAATTGTAACATTTATTTGTCTTCACATCTAACACAGATTGGTCTTGGACCAGGCAAGCTGCCATTTCGCTCGGGTGTGTTCCTGGTGATATGTGCCATCTGCTGTTTGCTGGTGGGAATCCTACTGGTGTCTCTTCGTATGCGGCATGTTTACCTCTGGGATTGGGATGCACAGTTCCTGGGACCATTCTTCTTTATATTGTTCTTGCTGTGCATGGCCAGTGCCTCCTACATGTTCATTATGGCTAAGCGCAGAAGCAACAAATATCGCTCAGAGCTTTATGTAAGTTTTAACTACGGCATGCAGTTATGCTTGTCTGCAGTCAGTATTCGCATGATAAATTCTTGCCCAGGAAATTTGGGTGTGCATGGTAAGAGCAGAATTATTGATTAACTGCCGCTGCTCCTCTGGGTTGCGAGCTACTTCATGTTAAAGTGGACTTTGTGAAGGATTTTGGGTAACAAGTGATTATGTCACAACAGAGTATTCATATCAGACGGTACCAATTCAGCTGAGAATGCACAAAAAGTCTTGACAATTTTTTAGTTCACAAAGGAAAAGAAAGGTAGATTTGTAATCAGTCTGCAGCTGGCACCAACACTATGGGAACTCTTAATTGACTGCTGCAGAAGGGAGTCGAGCACTGCAGGAATGCCCCAAGTGAAGTGATATCAATTCTTGATTTATACATTCAGCTATTTCTGAAAAATATTGTACTTTAAGCAAACTCAAGAATTAATAAATACTGATCCAGTCTTTTTATAAGTTATGTAAATGACATAAATTTATGCTTAGATTGTTTAAATCATTCTGTGGCAAGCAACTCATTCTATGGTTTCATATGGTTTTAGTTCAGGCATATTGGTGATTATTCTTTTTGACAGACTACAGTTTGTCATTTTCTCTTTAATGTTCAGTCTGATTTTTTTGGGGGGTGTTTTTTTGGTTTTGTTTTTCAACATACTAGAAATCAGAATTTTCTCTTTATGGTTCAGACAAGCTGGTAATTTTTTTGTTGGAAAGGGGAAGGGGGGGGGGGGGGGGCAGTTTGGAGACTATAGAGTTTGAAAAAGTCTTAACTTCTCCCTGCAGTCTGTCCCACATAGGAGTGGTCCTGCGATGAATGGCAAGGGAAGTCACTCTTTTTCTGGGCCGGAAAATGTAAAATTAACATTCTCTATGTATGGAAACATATGGGACACCCTGTGGATGCATTTCATGCGACAGAGACTCTTGGGAAATAAGTAAACTTTACTTCTAAACTGAGTAAAGGTGTTCATCTTCATAGCTCCCAATTGATATGAAAAGTAGGGGGTGACAAAACCATTCATGTGGATGTGGAAGACGAGGAGGAATCTCCACTTTTCAAGAGAGAGTTTTTGAAACTATTAGTGATTGTTCTGACAGTTTTGGCCAATTGGTGATTTTCTCTTCACTGTGCAGCAGACCAGACTGACTTTTAGTTTGCAGCTGAGACCAGTTAGTTAGTTTCTGTTCACAGTTAGGAGAAAGTGATTAAATTTATGTGTACGGTTAACATCACTAATTGATTTTTCAATTTATAGTTCCAACCCATTGGCGACTGGGGAGTTAGCTGTATTCACAAGAGTGAGCTGGCTCTGGAAGAGGAGATGAAGTGAGTAAAATAAAATCTTAGATGTGAAAGACTAGATGACTAAACCATACACACACATACACAAACACTCATGCACTAGCACAGTGTAAGTATAAGATAGCAGTAGCAGTTTTTCAACTCTTCAGCCATTACTTAAGCTGCAGTTCTGAATATAACAGACACAGTTACTGATGCCTTTAACCCTGTTGCCCCAGTAATGCTAAAAAAAAAAGAAGTCAAAATTCCATGGGAATTTCCAGGAAAAATCCTTAAAAACACAGCAGTTTTACACAGGACATGAATAAAATTATCTGCATAGTTTTCAGTTTAAAAAATATATAAATTTATAAAAAGTCTGTTATCAGTAAACGTAAAGAGAATAAAGAATTAAATGGAATACATTCCTTAGGGCCTAAAAACAGCAGGAACCAATCCACACAAAATAGTCAAGCCAAGATCAGAGGCATATTCACAGGTAATAGACGTTGTTGAACTCTGTCTTAGCCTTACAAGGTCACAAGGCTGTTTGCTGTTAACACATTCTGTTTCAGTGACAAAAAATACCCGTCCTACTGGGGAACCCCTTGTGGCATCATTGGGTTTCCCGCATCATTACATTACTGTGTTCACAGTGTACTGTATTTAGGAAATTACATTTTAAAATGTCAGTTTGTTAGACCCAGGAACATGTTAATTTAGTTTTAATTACTTTCTTTGGAAAAAATTTCCTTCGAACTCAAACAATATCAAATTCGTACACCGTCTCGGAACAGATTATGCTTGAATTCGGAGGTATCATTAGTATAAAATAAATTATCTCATTTATAATTGTTGTGTAGATCCAGTAGATGTTTTGTTTGTTTGCTGTGAGGTGCAGATTTATTGTACAATAATAATGTATTCTACAGTCCAGCAGAGGAGGACGTCGTAAAATGCAACAGCAATCTCAGCACAGTGGTCAGGACAATCATGGCTATGATAAGAGCCCACTGGACAAACCTTATAGACCTGCAGATCAAAGACAGGGGCCTCCTTCTGGAGGTCAGAGAGGACTGCCATCAGAAGGTAGAAGAGGTCCACCCCCACCCATTGATGGAAGAAGAGGACCTCCAACCGGGGGTGGGCTGGGACCTCCCCCTGACAGACGTGGTCCTCCTCCAGGCAGATATGGGCCACCTTCTGACAGCAGACACGGCCCTCCAACTGGAGGTAGATTTCAACCACTTAGATTTCCTCCCGGTAATAGGGATCAGAGATCAGAAAATGGGTAAGCATTAAATGGTTTGTTTATTTACATAACAAGACTGAATGAATCTTGTAACAAAACCTCTCTCATCATCATGAAGCAGGTCCTTTGTAGAACATCACTTTCATCATAGTCTGCCTGAAACTCTGTCTCTTGCCAGCTCTCCCGCCTCATGCACTTTCCTGACTGATTTTTTTTTACCTACCAGGACATCACACTGAGCGATAAACACCTGATGACACAAAGTGCCACCATTCGGATGAGGATCACCCCTGGGTGATCACTTATTGGACCTTTTTTCGCTGATAAATTTTTAAAGGTTTCACTGCTTCACTGACAAAAAAAATAAATAAAACAATTGGATAACAGAACCCTACTCCACTGGTGCATGTCACAGTGAGACAACTATATTTAAACTGTCATTATGATATTGCAGTGTTTGTTTGCTTTATAATGTCATGTTCTTAAGACTCCTGACCTCCTTACATCAATATTGACAGCTATTGACAATAGCATGGTTATTTCTTTCACACTTTTGATGTTCTATTTGAAGCAACTTTGTAGTCTTTACTTAGACCATGTTAAGTGTCATAATTGTTTAGAAAGAACAATAATGGAAAGCACAGCATTCGTAAGATAAAGCAGACCAATGCAGTGTTGCACACAGGTCTTTGAAGACATCCTGAACATGTAAATCTGTGAGGCAGGGGGACTTTAGAAAGATTCAGAATCTTTCATGATAAGAATGAGACTCAGGATCTTTCATGATTCAAGTCCACATTCTGCATAAAGATCTGATACATGATGATGATGAATGTCATTTATCTAATTTTTTGTAGTGGCTATTGATATTTCCCTGATTTGTATGAATTCTTCCGGGAAAGACTACATTAATTGTGATTTGTAATCAGGACATGCCAATGTTTTTAACATCTAAAGCAGTTGTATGTTTAATTTCATAATAATGTTTGTTCAGTTGCCTATCATGAAATTCAGAAAGGAAAAATGCATGCCTGTATTATTAAGAAGGCTTGTCTTTTTCTGCCCTGTAGCTCCCATAGGAGCATACTTCATTCAGCCAGTGTGCACCCAGTTGTGCTATTCTTTGCATTCACTTGATGCTTATTCTGTGTTCACCTTGTCTTATTCTCCTCAGTCTAACACTCTTCTGTGTGTATGTTTTGTCTTTGTCTTCTATTATATGTTTTGTTTGTTTATTCATGGAAATTTTCACTTTGCATGTGATACATTGTTGAGATCAGATTTAAACGTGCATAAGGCTCTTTGTTTAATATAGTAGGATACTGTAATTAAAAGTTTTTGCTTAGTAATAATGTTATTTATTTTGTTGTATTTTTGTTTTCAGCCAAAAAGTTGCCCAGAGTGTTCGGGGCATGCCTCGGGATGAATTTGACATTTAAGCAGCTAAATATGTTTGCTGATAAACATGTTGCCACAGTAAACAACTGTGCATGGTTTTCTATACACAACACGGTATACAACTGTGCATGGTTTTCTATACACAACATGGTATACATCTGTGCATGGTTTTCTATACACAACATGGTATACAACTGTGCATGGTTTTCTATACACAACACGGTATACAACTGTGCATGGTTTTTCTATACACAACACGGTATACAACTGTGCATGGTTTTTCTATACACAACATGGTATACATCTGTGCATGGTTTTCTATAAACAACAAGGTATACAACTGTGCATGGTTTTCTATAAACAACATGGTATACAACTGTGCATGGTTTTCTATAAACAACATGGTATACAACTGTGCATGGTTTTCTATAAACAACATGGTATACAACTGTGCATGGTTTTCTATAAACAACATGGTATACAACTGTGCATGGTTTTCTATAAACAACAAGGTATACAACTGTGCATGGTTTTCTATAAACAACATGGTATACAACTGTGCATGGTTTTCTATAAACAACAAGGTATACAACTGTGCATGGTTTTTCTATAAACAACATGGTATACAACTGTGCATGGTTTTTCTATAAAACAACATGGTATACAACTGTGCATGGTTTTCTATAAACAACATGGTATACAACTGTGCATGGTTTTCTATAAACAACAAGGTATACAACTGTGCATGGTTTTCTATAAACAACATGGTATACAACTGTGCATGGTTTTCTATAAACAACATGGTATACAACTGTGCATGGTTTTCTATAAACAACATGGTATACAACTGTGCATGGTTTTCTATAAACAACATGGTATACAACTGTGCATGGTTTTCTATACACAACATGGTATACAACTGTGCATGGTTTTCTATACACAACATGGTATACAACTGTGCATGGTTTTCTATAAACAACATGGTATACAACTGTGCATGGTTTTCTATACACAACATGGTATACAACTGTGCATGGTTTTCTATACACAACATGGTATACAACTGTGCATGGTTTTCTATACACAACATGGTATACAACTGTGCATGGTTTTCTATACACAACATGGTATACAACTGTGCATGGTTTTCTATAAACAAAAATGGGCATGTATTTGCCTGCATTTAATGATATTATACATAGTCATGTTATGTGTCCATTTTTATGATCTTACATAATCACTTACTAGTTTGTCAGTTTAATGGCATTTATCAATTTTAATAGCATTACAAACTTTTTATTTGTGTGTGTGTGTTTAATGATATTATAATCATTGTATTTGTACATGTTTAATGATATTATATACAGTCAAGTATGAGTAGTAAGTATTTGGAAGGCTGCAATAGTAGGTTTTTATATGCTCTTTGAGAAGTAAAATGTCTGCAAGAGCCAAGTGATAACTGTAGCCAAAGAATAAATCAACACAGAAGTGTGGGTTCTGGGGCCCTGTTATAGCGAAAACAAGAATAGACCAACTGCCTACCCAAAAGCATGTCGTAATAGTCGACTAATTGGGAGCTTCCTTTGAAGTCAGAGTGCATCTTCCAAGAAGCAAGGAACCAGCAGTCTGCATACAAATCAAATCTGTAAAACAGATGCACATGCAACACTCAGGTTTTGGAACAGGACTGCACTCCAGAAGTGGATGAACAACAAGAATTTTCTGCCAGAGTTTACAGTGAAGAAGAAGAGGAACACAGAAGTGGGTCATCAACTGCTGCAGGTTGTGGGATTTTCAGATTAAGGCATCCAAGCATTTATAAACTGAATGGTTTTTTGTGTAATCAGTGTCATCTGTCAGTGTCATGCTTTATTTGATGTTGGCAGATTACAAAATTCAGTACCAAGCAATTTAATGAGCAACCAGTCAACACAATTTATTTTTCAGGACTTTTATGGACTGAATTGTTTCAAATGCAGTGGGGATGATATGTAGGCTAACTAACATGCTGTATTTGAGGTTGATGGATTACCAAGCACGACACGATCTAATTCTCAGGACATTCTGTGTCCCATCCAGTGTCCGTCCTTGCCCACTCTGCCCCATTTCTTTCAGTAACTCATCCCGTTTCATAATGCTATTATTGTAACTATTCAGACCTATACACTGATTAGTTGAAGTCGTCCACCCCCCCCCCCTCACCCCCTCCCCCAGTCTATTGTTTCTGTATTCACTTTCTATTTTGATTTCCACTTTGTCTATACCTTATAGCTCTTTGTGGTATAATGTCAGTTGATAGCCTTGTTAAAAGAGGCTGAGAGTTTTCTTTCATTTTATGCTCGTGGTCTGAAGCAGGTCTCTCATTTGTCCATGTTTTCCATAATTTTGCATAATAATAAGTCCAGATTATGTTCATCATATTTTTTTGGTTGTGACTATTCTTATTTGGTCTTTAAGTTAATAAAATTATGTGTGCAATTAAATTGGAAAAAATTGGGGGGTGGGGGAGCTAGTATATTTCATTTTTATGGCATACATTTATGTGTTACCCTTGTCTTGTGCGAGACCTGGAAAACAGATACATTTAGGCAGTTTTTTTTAATGGATTACTTAATATGAAGCAGTCCATAAATGTGCTGATCAGTAAGGCCCACTTTTGACTGCTTCCTGCAGAATTTCATGCCACAGATCGGAATTACCTGTAATTTCATAAATGCAGCAGAAAATGCAAATTTGGCAGAAGGCGACTGACCTGTTTAATAATTGCATATACAGTGGTACCTCGGGTCATGAAGGCCTCTGACAGGAACAAATCAGCCAACGAACACAGCTTTAAAAAAAATGTACTTGACCAGCAACTAATACCTCGGTTCACAAACATGCTTTCCGCATCATGTTTTTAGCTTGCAAACAGAATCTGTTGTACTGAGGTTTGCTTGCTGTGCACTTTGTTTTTGTGTTATTCATGGCACAATTGATCTTTTTCCCTTTCTCCTTATTTTTTGCATTAAATTAGCTCTTGTTATGCCTCCTAAGAAAGTGAAAAGTTTGTTAGTTAGCTAGTTGGGTTATCATCATTGCACTCCGGACATGTCCATAGGGGCTCAGATCCTCCCCTCAGTATGAACCCTAAAGTCCGATGGCTAATAATACCAGTTCTATGTTGATTAACAAGTCTTCTGGCGTGTCTGGTGTGCGTCTCGTTTTTTGCGATACCGATCTTAATTCCCAAGTCTGCCATTCTGGCGAGTGATGTGGATTCACTGCCCCCAAAGTTCTCTATCCTTCCCATTTTTCTGAGGGCATTAATAATATCAGCATGATCCATAGGCTGACCGTTGGTAGTGGTAGCGGTAGTGAAAAGTGTTAGTGACAATGGGGTAAAGTAACCTAGCATATTACAGCAGAATACGAAGAATGAACTATTAACTAAACATGAATAGGACATAGCTACATCTACGATCTGTACTATCTTTAAAAGGAAAAAATTGTGCTTAAGACACCTGATGTGGTTAAAAAAAAGTGACTGTTAACAAGACAATGGTCTTAAATGTTAGGTTTAGCAGAAAAATTATTGTTAGTTTGGATGCTCATTCTCAAAATATGGGTTTGTGATGTCACCACTGCAGTATTCTGTCTCA